GCTAAGCTTGGAAGTTTGCAAATACAGATTCATGGACCAGCAAATTTGAGTGAAAACCCAAGTAGCATAGAAAAAGAGACGGTATCACTAGTAAGTATATGAATGACTATCAAGCAATAGAGTTACTGAATAGAAACTAACACTGAAATGTTTTTTAAAGGACTGAAAGTCAGGTGAAGCCACCCATGTAATCAGGTTGAACTATTTCTGTTTAACTCAAATTTTGGAGAAAGAGATACATCAATTTAATTTACTAATAAATTACATACAGATAGAACATGGATGTCAATCACAAGTATCCCGTGATAAACAAATCCCACTTTAATACCTTTTTGAGGATGCTTGCTGAGTTAATGTGATGTTATCAACAGAAAACATCATGCTGCAAACGACTCACTCCGTAAGCATTATAGAACTCTTGTTGGTTATTTCCTTAATATAAAAGCAAACAGTTAGTTGGGTTTCTTAGTTAATTAAATTTAAAGCACAGTTTTGTTAGTAATTGTAGTTTGGGACCTACTAATTAGTAGTTTTCACCCTTTCACTGCTAAACACTTTGAAAAAAGCTTTATACCAATTTCTTGAGAAAATGAGTCAAAGCTTATTGTTTGTAGCACAGATAATAGAGCATTTATATTTTTGCATAATCCAAACTTTTTAAATCATGCTTTTATTTAAGAATGTGGAAACTAGGAGAATAAAACCTATTTGCATTATAGTAGACAAATATCATATTTGTAATGGGAAGCTTTTGTCCACACAACAATCGATCACCTGGCAATGACAAGACAGTATTCCTGAAAAGCTCCTGTACAGGTAGGTTTCTCTTATTCATTTCTTCTTCTAATTAAAAAATGAAAAAAAGTTTGTCATTTCCATATGTTCCTCACTAAATCTTCTGGGGGTTTTTGGATTTTGTTTGGTTTTAAATAAACAAATGTATGATTGCAGAAGGAGGATCCAGGGGAACAGCACTGAGACAGTAAGCCTCAACATGTACCTCATACTGAATCTTAAAAAACAGACACACAAAAAAAAAAGAGACTAACTGCTGCAGCAAGAGCACCCAGGAAAAGATTTTTTTGAAAACACAATAGTGGTAAGGTAAATGGCAGCTTTTTTGTTCACTTTTCCCTGTGATCTGAGAAAAAGTGCATACATGGCCACAACCCACAGTAAATACAAATCTTTAAGCAGAGCTCACCTTGGTAGCAAACCCCTCATTGGCAATGACAGTACCCAGGAATAACTAACAAGCTATCTCGACAAAAAGAAAGATTGAAGCATTACAGTTTAGCGAGATAAATAACCTTTCATCAAGAATTTTTATCAGTCTTTTACAGAAGTCAGAAATTTCATATTAATCAAAATGCAAGGAAGTAGTAAATTACAGTATTTCCCCAGGTGTATGATCACTGCTGTATGGGAAACCCCTCTGCCTCCCCAAAAAATAAGGGAAGTATTGGACCCGGGGGGCTGCCACCACACCTATTATTGCCAGTGGGGTGGTGGCAGTGGCAGTAGCAACTACACCAACCACTGTTGGAATGAGCAATTTCAGAACATAAAAGACGTTTAAACCTTTCTTTTGGGGAAAGTACACATCATACACCAGAATATATGGTATGCAAACCAACAGAGAAAAGTGTATTTATCAAGTATGTGCTAAGCATGGATGCATCTTAAGGATTAATGTAATTACAGCTGAACATGTCATGCATTTAGATTACTTTCTTCCAAAGCTGAAACGCTGGTGTAAGTGTTTTGCTGCTAAGCCTGAAAGAGAATTTTAGTTCTAGCTAATTGCACAAACAGTTTTACAATTTCTTTCAGGCTTCTGAGTGCAAATTTATCCAAGGGCAAAAGAGTGGCTTCAATTTCATGGAGCTTTGCTGTCGAACAGGTGAAAAGCCAGTCGGTAAAGTCGGTAAAGATCAGAGAACAGACCAACATTTTGTGGCAGGTATCTGCTACAGGTTGCCTGATCAAGAAGAGTAAGTAGATGGAAGCCTTCATTAGACAACTGGATGAAGCCTCATGATCGCAGGCCTTGGTACTTGTGAGGAACTTTAACCACCCCAGTATCTGGTGGAAAGGCAACAGGGCTGGGAGCAAGCTGTCCAGGAGATTTCTGGGGAGCGTAGCAGACCGTTTCTTCACACAAGTGATCGATGAGCCAACTAGGGGAGGTGCTCTGCTGGACCTGTCACTGATGAACAAGGAAGAACTCATCAGGGAGCTGAAGGCTGATGGTAACCTTGGCTGCAATGTTCAGGAGCTGGTGGAGTTTAAGATACTGAGAAGTGTGCAAGACAAACTGTAGAGTTACAACCCTGGACCTGAGGACAGGGGACAACGGCTTGCTCAGGGTTCTACTTGGCAGGAAGCCACAGGACATGGCCTACAAGGGCAAAGGGACCCGAGGACAGATGGTTGATCTTCAAGGACACCTTCCTCAAAACGCAAGGACAGTCCATTCCAGCGTACAGAAAGTTGAGCAAGCGTGGTAGAAGGCTGGCATAGGAGAAGACTGGCATAGATGAACAAGAAAGTCCTGACAGAGCTCAAACACACACACACACACAAAGTGAAAGCACGGGTAAGCTGCTTGGGAGGAATACAGAAATATGACCCAAGCACGCAGGGATAGATTTAGGAAAGCCAAAGCTCAGCTGGACCTGGATCTGGTGAAGGGCAACAAGAAGGGCTTCTACAAATACACCAGCGACAAAAGGAGGATCAGTGGGGCATGGGACCTAGGGACATGGAAAAGGCTGAGATACTCAATACCTTTTTTTGCTTCAGTTTTCACTTTAGAGGTTTGTCTTAAGGCCTCCCAGGTTTCTGAGTCTAGTAGTAGAGACTGGGAGAGTGATATTTGACTCACGGGAAACCTGGACTGTGTTAGGGACCACTTAAGTCAACAGAGCAAACACAAGACTCTGGATATGGGCTGCATCCAAGAGTGCTGAGGGTTGACTAATGCAATTGCAAGTCCCCTCTCTATCATCTTGGAAAGGTCATGGCAGTTCGGGAAGACGAAAAAAGGCCAATGTCATGGCCATTTCAAGAAGTGCAAGGAGGACCACCCAGGGAACTATTGGCCTATCAGCCTAACCTCAGTCCCCAAGATTATGGAGCTTGTCTTCCTGGAAGCCATGTCCAAGCACACGAAGGACAGGAAGGTGACTGGGAACAGCCAGCATGGAGGTACCACGGGCAGATTGGTTAGACTGGTCAGGCACACCTTCTGTGGTGAGGTGATGGACTCTGTGGATGGAGTACAGTGGATGTTGTTTACCTGGACTGTAGCATGGCCCTCCATAGAATCCTTCTAGCCAAACAGGTGAGAAACAGACTGGATACACGGACTTCTGCTTGGGTAAAAAATTTGCTCAAGCACTGAGTTCACAGGGTGGTGAAAACAACAGTACAAAACCCAGCTGGCCATTGGTTACCAGCAGTGTCCCTTGAGGGCCAATACCAAGGACTATAATGTTCAATATATTAATGACCTGGATGATGGGATGGAGTGCACTCCCACCACATTCACAGACAGCAGCCAAGCAGTGAGGGAAACTTGATAGGCCAGAGGGTAGGGTGGCTAGTCAGAATGGGCCTTCAGAGGCTGGAGAAAAGAACTGACAGAAACCACATGAAGTGCAACAAAGGCAAATTCTTGCACTAGGGACATGACAAATCTAGACAGCAATACAGCCTGGGCATCAACTGGTTGGAAAGCAGCTTTGCAGGAATGGACCCAGGGGTCCTGGTGGACACAAAATGGAATACAAGTCAGCAGAGTGCCCCTGCAGTGAAAGTGGCCGTCCATACATTGACCCATATTAGCAGCATATATTGGGCCATATTAGCAAAAGCATAGGCAGCAAGTCAATGAAAGAGATTAATCCCTTCTATCTGGCACTTGTGAGACAGGATCTGGAGTGCTGTGCCCAGTTTTGGGCTTCCCCATACAAGAAAGACATGGACATACTGGAGCGAGTGCAGTGGAGAGCAACCAAGATGGTCAGAGGCTGGAGCACATGACGTACACGGAGAGGCTGCAAGAACTGGGTGTGTTCAGCCTTATGAAGGGAAGGCTCTCAGGGGATCTTACTGTTGTCTTCGGCTACCTAATGGAGGGGTATAAAGAAGACAGAGCCAGACTCTTCTCGGAGGCATGCACTAAAGAACAAAGGACAACAGTCATGAGTTGCAGTAAGGGAAATCTTTTTCACCGTGAGGGTGGTAAGGCCCTGGAACAGGTTGCCCAGAGAGGCTGTGAAATCTTTCACCTTGGAAATAGTCACAGCTTGACTGGACATGGCCCTGAGCAACCTGCTCTAGCTGACCCTGCTTTGAACATGGAGTCGGACTAGACTACCTCCAGAGGTTCCTTCAACCTCAACTGTTCTGTGACTCTAACTGTCCTTTCAGGGAACAGAGGAGAAAAAGAAAACACTGGAATTTTCATCAAACTATATCTCAGCTGTCACCCCGCATGTTCTAGTAGGGTGAAACACTAGCAGGGCTTTTGCTTCCTTCTGTCTGGGCATGCAGGCTATACCAACGTTAAGGAGTGAAAACAGATAGGCCCTCCAAGTCTGAAGGAGTTCCTGGATAAGAACTGTGAGGAACACAATGGAAAACAGATAATTAAACAGGAAAGTGCAAATACTTTAAACCACTTTCTCTTCTTAGCAGAGAGTTTAAACATAATAAATAACTGGCAGTAATATTTTTCCTCATATATTTCAATTCTAAAGAATAACATTTCCCAAATCAAAATAAATAATCCTATACGATCTTTTTAAATTCCTTTAAACTAACAACCTACAGCAAATAAGAAAATCAAGCATCTTCTGGGGCTTTTTGTTCAAAAACTGATTTAAGAGTTCAGGCTACTGTTGAAGTTGAGACTCAGGAAAATTAAAAGTAAAAAACAACAACACAATTGCTTAGAATTTTTCTATACAGGAATAAATTCCAAGAGCAGAAGCAAAAAGGTCAGACATGGTTTCTTTCCCCATCTCATCTGTTCTCTACTACTCCTGTCATACGAAGCACAGAGGAGGAGAGCCTGACAGGGTATTTGGAGCTTTTCCAGGTGGCATCAAAATATTCACTGTACACCGCATTTCTCCAGACCCTGCCAATACAAACTATCTCAGGAGGAAATACAGAGCACCAAGTTGCTGAACCAAAAAGTTTTGTTTGGGTTTTTAAACTCCTATAAGCACCAGTCACAGACTGGAGATACTACTGCGACAGGCAGTGTACATTCACAGTTTTGCCCCACTGCTATAAACATTCCATATTACATCTACACATTGACATTATGCCAAAAATTATTACAATATATGCTAGTTTTTTGCCAGTATCTACATGAGGTAGCTTCAGTTCGCGTACAAAGCCTTATGCATCTCATGAATTCCCCACAGTTAGGTCCCTCCACTTAGCTGATGTACAGCAGTGTCCAAAAAGCTACAGTCTGCTCCTCCTGAAGGCAACAGGAGTTCTGCAATCATCTCTAATGATCAACCAAGCTGTGTTCAAAACTGGCATGAACTATTTTGAGCACTCACGAAGAGAGGACGCAGAGGACGTCCCGCGAAGAAACATCTGCAAGCCATCCTCACTGTCACTGGTACTGGCCATGCTGTTTCTCATCTGCATCACAGAGAGCTGTGAGCAAAGACTAGGCTGTCGATCAATCTTTTTTGAAGCCTAAAGAAAAATAAATAATCATTATTTTTTAAAAAATGTATCAAGTAAATTAAAATAAAAATGGAAAATAACTATTTCCTCTGTAGTAGATGCTCTGGTCTCAGCTATGATCATTCATGAATCAAAAAACTGGTTACAGCAGAACATTCTATGCAGTAAAATTGACTTAAATGAAAATAGAAGATGACAGTAATGTATTGGAATTAGAACACTGACAAGCATGAAACCTCAGACTAATTATTCAATTTCAATTCTGTTTTGCACTGGACTTTTAATGTATTTTTGTACAGAAAGGTTGATTTTTATTATTTAGTAATTCATTATTTAGGTATGATGCTCTGCAATTAAATACAGCCTTTATGATGAGCCTGGTCCTCCTTGCTAAACAAAACTCTCTATATAGAGAGTTTAACAATTTATATGTTAACAGAAATTTGTTCACTTTCCTGGCTTTTCATTTCATCAAGTTAGAAAGTGGTGAATATCATTCCTTCCTAGTAGATGATCATTTGGCTCTTCATTTTACTGAAGACAGATTAAATGCATCACATGAACATTATCCTCTGCCGGTCAAATGGTCTTAGGAGCTTCCCTTTGCTTTGAGCAGTCTTTCTGAGAAGTCTTTGTACTATAATATTTATATGAAACCATACATTGTACCTTGTTAAGTATAACTGCAAGTCAGTCATTTTAAGTGTATGTGAAAGGTAGTAATCAGTGACAAAAGCATAATGGATAACTCCATTGAATTTTAAGAGTCAGGAATTAGCATCCTATTTCACACAGAGAGAAATTACTATTTTCCCAACAGTAGTGAAAAATCTCCTTAAGTAGGAGAAAAATCACAAGGTTCCTTACAAATAAAGGGATACTTTTCTGTTTTTCAACATACAATGAATTGATATTCTTATCTTCTTACTACCATCTTGATTATCAATAATCTATACTGAATTTATTTTAGTTGTTCTCTTGCATGTCCCCTGTGTACAGAAGTCAACTACAAAATTTTCTATTGAGACTGTCACCCGCTAATAAGCATCAAAGACACCAGTAATATGTGTATTTGACAATGAAGCTTGAGAGAAGTGACGCGTGCAAAGGGTGCTGGCAATGGGGAAATGAAGGAGAATTTACTGGACAGTTCTTGTACTACGTTATGTAGGAAAGGCTTCTGCAACAGGATTTTCATTTGAGGAAGAATAAAAAGGTGCTACAAATTTCCCAAATGCTCGCTCTTAATTTTTCAAAAGTCACTGTGGTAAAACAGTTACAACAATCTTAAATTCACGTGACTATTGTCACTAAAAATAAAGACTTGGTACAAACTGAAGTGTGCAGATGTTAAGTCCAAGGAGGGGTGAAGTTTGGTGGGTTTTTTTAATTCTTAGAAGCTTTGATAAGGACCTTTCACTTAAAACCAACCAATTACAACATTACAATGAGTACTTCAATATACTTCCATTTCAAGAAATATTTATACTAGTGACAAAGCTCTACAGTGCCAGAAGTCAGCAGCACAAGTGTGTTGCAGGTGACTTTATATACTAGGCATGACACCCTAAGGCTGTCATCCACATGCTAAAAAAGGAAAATGAGGGAAGGAAAGAGGAAAGAAAAGAGGATAATAAAATAGAGAACAGAAAAGAAAAAAGAGAAAAAAGAAGAAAGAAGAAAAAAGGGAAAAAAAGAAAAAAGGCAAGGTGAGGAGGAGTGTGGAGAACAGCAGTCTCCCGGGAGAGGCAATCTGAATGCAATCCTTAGCACACACAGGAAGCACGTCGCTACACGTTCTTTTCAGATGCCACTCTAGAAATTACTTACTATGTTAATGTGGGGTTTATTACAAAACACTCCCCTGCAGTTCTTTGTTATTAAAAAAAGAAAAAAAGAAGTTTTAACTACACACTTTATAGGATGTATTTTATAGATGGTACATCCCTGCTAGATCACTTTTACTACATTATCAAGATGAAAACAGTGATCTGAAATAGTTTTGAGGACCTGATTGCAAGACAGTGTAATCCTCTATTTCATTAACCAGAAGGCAGAATAAGCAGTGCTGTATTGCTATTAAATTGTTTCTCCAGCAATTCTTTCTTTTCTCTTTCTATAGCCAGTACAAAATTGAGAAAACTTACAATGTCTAATCAGCTGCAAAGACATGACAAGTTAAACCTGCTGAAGTCTGTTGTATAGTAGCAGCCATTTCTTTTGGATCATTTTCTAGTAAATTCACAACTTTGCAGAAGTAACTATTTAACCTATATATGAGATATTTATGGGCAATCTGATGAGAAGGAGTTTTGCTCTGAGTTAGTGTGAGTTAAATCAATACAGACAGAATACAAAAATACTGTATTATAAAGCTTTTCATAAATGATGGTGACAGTTCTTCAAATAAATTATATATGAAAAACCTACAGCCACTACATAAATAATAAAAAAACCCCAAACACCAGCAGTCAAGTTACTGTCCAAATCTTGAAAAGCCATGTAACTAAGGGGACAAAATGAAAGTAAAACAAGGTAATCAATATATCCAGATACACCCAGACCACTTACCTTGACACCTAAACCACACTCCCTCTACATGCAAAGAGGAATGCATCATATTCACACCACTAAATATTATATACATATTTATATTTCATATGTATTTCACGCCTCCTTCGACTAACTACATTGTATCAATCTAACATTCTTTTTTTTCTATTGGCATCTGCAACCCTCAAACACATTGAAATTATTCTTCTTGCCAATCAGTATTCCCCAGATTCCCCAGCTGTTTGACCTCAGCAAGCAAATTGTTTAAGAAAAAACCCTGAAGCTTCTTTGCACAAAGGCACCCATTTGTTAATGAGAAAGGATATCCAGGGAGAAGCACCTTTTTAGCTACCGGCCATCACGCCTACTAGTTAGCTAGAAATATTTGTGCGAGCCGATCAGTTCCTTGTCTCAGTTATTCACCTTTCTTGCACGCTAACTGTGCTAACCTCAACCAATATCGCTTCAAACAGAAATGTTGCACTGACTCACGCTTTGGCACTAAAAGGCAATGAGTATGAATTTAGCAGCTGATAGCAGCAGGTTAAAAAAAGGTGCTTTAAGAGGATTTAAAATTGAAGTAACAATCCATTTGTGGGAGGAAAATTCCCAAATGCAACTTCAGTTGCTTACCTTGTCATTTAAGGTTGGGTCATTCAATGAATAGAGTTTATTTGTAATATCCTTGCCAATAAGATACTTAAAGATCTCATAAAGAAATGGCTCAGTTTCCAGAAAATAAGTCAGCCTTTCCCTGGACCAGCACAGGAACTTGCAGTTGTCATCTGCTATAATGGTGACCTGAGAAAATACATGCTCAGAATTAGCAGATTTAAAAATGTTTTTAAATTAGCAATTTAAACATGCCTTAAAATAAGTGATACCATTTTACTTGTGCCTCCAGTTAAAATAACTCTTAAAGCCGAAAAATTTTTTTGTGTCCTTTAGAACGTGATACTTACAAATGTAAAACATCTCAGATATTTATTAGCATCACATTTTTAACTGATAAGCATGGCCAGTTTGTTTTTCAGAAAACCTGGGGGGAGATAATAGGGGAAAATCTCTCATAAGTTCCCAAACTGTGAAAGCATTTGTGTTAGAGGAGATTTACATATAAAGTCAGTTCTACAGTAGTAATGACACTACTTGCACCCCAACAGGCCTACACATTGCTTGGTTTTATTTTATGCTGTCACCAAACAGGAACAACTGGTATAATCCAAAGGTCTCCATCAAAGAGGTTTTAGTGATTTTTTTTTGTTTGTTTGTTTTAAAGTTTCACCTTTCTCTCTTCACCCTGCTGATCCCACAAGTACCACCTTCTAGCAGTTGAGCTACGGCTCCGTTTGCTCAGTTACTGATAGTTCAGCTCTCGATAGTAACAGAGGAGCTTGCACCCTCCCCAGGGAGGCTGGAGCTGCTGGGTTCATCTCCCTGTGCGGGCAGGGGGAACGGCACACCGAAACCTGCACCGCTCGGTGACACCCAACGGCATGTTTTGCAAGCGAAAGGCAGTCATCTACGAAGAAATCAGGTGCGCTCTGCTATTACAAGCTAACATTACCCCCTGAAAAATTAAAAATATAAAAAGCCTAAGAAACAATGGGGTCACTGTCACATATCCATGGATTTTAACTTCACAGGCTGTATGTAATACGAGCACACAGGCTAAGGAAGAATTTGCCAGCGTTGCCAGCAGATGGGGTCCTTAAGATTGAATCTGTGTCCTCTTGCAATGGCAACACTGAGAGTGTTTATACGGCAGTAACACGCCGAACTCACGAGCGCAGGATGTACACCGCAGCAGATTACTATAACTTTTAAGGCATGCAAGAGCTGAGGCACAAGCCTTTTCCCTTCAGAGGGACTGATTCCTACCCAGTTGCTTATGAGAGAAACAGGCTGTGCCAAGAGAGCGGCCGTGCCACAGGACAGGACGCCTCACTGCTGCGCAACGAATACGTCTGGACAACTCTTCCTCCTTGGCGTTAAGCCTAGTGTTTGACTGGAACATATGACATCAATCACTGATGTTAGAGTCTACATTGCTCTCCCTCACTCCCCTTCTGCCAGGCTATCAGTGTGTATGCACCCACTCAGCTGCAGTCCGGTCATTACTACACATATGCAATTAAGGAATATCAAGTAAGAAGCAGCAAAATAGCCATTTTGGTACCATGGGAAAAAAACTTCCCTAACAATGTTTTTTCCCCATAAGCTATAGTATGAGATATTCTTTAATGTACTAGTATAACTACACTGCTAGAGAGATATACCCTTATTGTCCTCCATATGAGTATTTCTATTCAAAACAATACGATCTCTTTCAGCTTATGTTGCTTTAACAACTTCACATTTAGATAAACACCAATTTCAAACTACTAGTGCCTGAATTTTTGGTATTTCATTTTAGTAACACCAAATATTACAATACTAATTTTCCTTTTCTGTTTTTGAAACAGTGATGAGACTGCTCACAGCATCTCTTTTCCAGTAAAGCGCTCTCAAATTTTTTGTCTCAATCTCTTAACACAAAACAAACTTGCTAACAGCGAAAGAGAACAGAACAGTGAAAGCCAGACTGCTCAGTGAACACCATCATAATACTGTTTTACAGCATTTCATTTTAAAAGTTACTCTTGATGTGATCCACCACGAAACACCAGTACTAGAGAGCTAGCAAAATTATGCAGGCCAAATAGTTAACTATTGATCAAATTTATACTCTGGGTTTTTATTATCTCATTCATTCATATGCAGTGACATTTAAAACAAAGTGTACCTGGAATTTCTCACCCCGGTTCATCTGCGTTGATCGAAATTCAGGAGAATCTATAAAGGCACAGGGGTAAATATTATGCAGAAAATGCCCTCGGTAAGACACCTTCATTCTGGAAATAAAAATGTATGAAAGAACATTTTAAAATCATGGAGGTTGATTAATTTAATCTAAATTTGGATATGATTATTGACAATGGTAAAGCAGCAGGTAAGAGGCAAAAATATGTTCATCTTCTGGAACTTCAGCCCCAGAGCTACCCTATCTTCTGCCTAAACCTGCACTGACTCCAAGAACAGGCTGCCAGCCACTTCGAGTTGCCGGACGTGGCGTGTAGCCTCAAAACATTGCTATTCAAAATGAAAGTGTCTGAAGTGTTATTCTATACAGCCAGACCAGAATCAGGCTTCCTTTAGATAACTAGCTCTGCAGTAACAAGCAGCTAATGCCCTCAAAGAAAACCAATGAAACCCAACATCACTGTTACCATCAACAGAAACCGGTTAAAATATTGGCCAGAACTTGGTGAGAACTTCAAGATTACAGCTTGGCCATGGGCGTTTATTCTACCCTTTCTCACCTGGGTCCTGTCAGCCTCGGGGCAGTGCACCTGCCCCTCTCTGCTTGCACATACATGTACGATGAACCAATTCCAATAGGCCTCTTGTTTTAATGTTCACTGGAGGGAGAGTTTTTTCGTCCCTCATGCACAGTATTTTTTAGCCTTAAAATGCACTGAGAAGATGACTTAGATATTTAAGACTCAAACAAATCTCTTGCTTGTTCTGGAACACACTGCCTTTGGTATTGCACAAATATAATTCCCACTAAAATCCATGCAGCTGCACACACAAGTGGAGATTAATATGCTCCCAGTAGGAGTCATCACTGGCATTTGAAAATGGTGTTACAAAATAGTCTGGCTATAGACTATTCAGCTGTAGATCATAAGACACTACAAACAATATCATTTAAAAAGCTAACAAAACCCCCAACAACTTTCTGTTCGACCACCACACAAACCATAAGACTGTCCCCAAGCTTTACAGAACCTAC